CAGCTAAATATAGATGCCGAGTATAAAGCTTTAAAATATGGTCACAACTAAAGCTCATTTAAAGTGTTTAGACAAAAACTGAAAAAAGGGATTTATTAAATGTTCCTCTTATTCCTCTTTTTTCCAGTTTTTTTTTGTTAGCCTATTTGCTGTTGCATGTGTTATAGTCACATTTTTAATATGTTGTATAGTTAATTTTCATCAATATGCTAAAGTTCATCAAATTTAATGTCAACGCAGTTGTGATTAAATCAGTTGTTTTGAATTTTACTCAGAGCCAAGGCTATATGTTTCTGAGTTTGTTAAATTTAATTTTGGGTTTGTTTAATAGTATATATATATATATATATAAATTACAAGTTTAACCAAAAATGGTTCACTTGACCTAAATTCACCTCGCCCTATTGATTTAGTTTATGGATGTACTTATCATTGTCATAGTCACCTGGCTATGTAAATTAGTAAATTAATAATAATAATAATAATAATAAAATTGTTCCCCCATGAGAAAGTTTTGTTAAGTTAAGTTCAACTTATTACATCAAATCAGTTTGACCAAAACCAACTCAATTGTGTTTACACAACTAAGCAGATTTATCTGAATGAACTAAATTAAATTGTGTGTTAAAACCTTTCTTCAATTAAATTAAGTGTAATGGTAATGAATTAATTTAGTCTGTATTGTAACACTGCTAGTCACTCTTTCAGAACCTTATCTCATTCGTTCATTACAGTTATATATAAATATTTAGTCTACATAACTGTTTCAAATCAAGCACAAGATCTTTGTAACGAGAACATTTGGTTAATTCATCAAAACACAACAGTATATTCTTTCAGTTTAATACTTTTAGCAATCGGTTAATTCAACGATGGATGCATGTTGCAAACAGTTCAACAGGATCTATATAGAAATGTATAGATTTACCAAATAATTCACTGATTAAACATTAAAATCATTTAGATTAAATCATAGACAAACATAATAAATCGAATGAGAAGAGAGGCAAATGATTGTGAAATCATAACTTTCAGAGTTTCAAGACAGTCAAATATTATTTGTGGATACCATAGAAATGAATGAAGTAGTGCCCTAAACCGAATATTATCTGTTGCAAAAAAAGAGCTCACTCCAAAATAATAATTATTATTAGTTTTTTTTTTATTGAATCACTCATATTCAACATTTTACAGTAGCCAGGGGGTGAAGACAACAACAACAACAACAATAATAATAATAATAATAATAA